GTAGTAGTAGTAGTAGTAGTAGTAATAGTTGTAGTAGTAGTAGTAGTAGTAGTAGCAGTAGTAGCAGTAGTAGCAGTAGTAGTAGTAGTAGTAGTAGTAGTAGTAGTAGTAGCAGTATTAGTAGTGGCAGTTGTAGTAGTAATAGTAGTAATAGTAGTAGTAGTAGTAGTAATAGTAGTAGTAGTAGTAGTAGTTGCAGTAGTTGTAGTAGTAATAGTAGTGGCAGTAGTACTAGTAGTAGTACTATTATGTTATAGAAAAATACTGCTTATCGAGGCTCAAGACGGCTCAAGAGGCCATCAATATCGCCCCAAGGGCACCCAAGAAGCCTCCAAGACTGCCCCAGGACGGCCCAAGAGGCCCCCAAGACGGCCCGAAGCGGGCCCAAAGACTGCCCAAGAGGCCTCTAAGACGCCCAAGATGGCCTCCAAGACGGCCAAGATAGCCCCAAGAGGGCCCAATATGGCCCCGAGGTGTCTCCAAGACGGCCCAAGATGTACACAAAACTGCCAAATATGGCCTCAAGATGGCCCAAGACCGCCCAAGACGCCCCCAAGAGGCCTCCAAGACAGCCCAAGAGAGCCTCCAAGAGCACCTCCAGGAAGGCCCACAGATGCCAAATTCATTGTTTTCCTTAGGTTTTTGAAGGATTTGGGGGTTTGCTCCTTTTCGGCTTTCCGACGGCTCAAGACGGCCCAAGAAGCCCTCAAGATCGCCCCAAGGGCGCCCAAGAAGCCTCCAAGACTGCCCCAGGACGGCCCAAGAGGCTCCCAAGACGGCCCCAAGAGAGCCCAAATACTGCCGAAGAGGCTCCAAGTCGTGCCAGAGAGGCCCTAAAGATATCTTCCGCCGGCGTCGGAGAAGCCAGAAGCCTTTTGGCGGTTCACCGAAATCGCGATTTTGGTGTTTTTGTTTCCCAGGTAGAGACACACCGCAATCGCGATTTGGGTGTTTCTCTCCGTCCAGGGAGAGAATCACCCAAATCGCGATTTCGGTGATTCCATCTACAAACAAAGAAACACCGAAATCGAGATTTCGGTTTCGTTGAATCGTGGATTAGGTGTGTTTCGGCGGCGGCCCCCGCCCCCGGTGCGTAAGTACTCCACCTGCCTGAAGCAGGCGGCGCCAAGAGCACCCAAGATCTACTCTAAGGTCGGGTGTGCCCTCCTACAGGCGGATTTGTTGACAATGTTTGTCAAAATATACACCTAGCTATAATCAAACATACTCAAAAATCGTCGCCTGATGATTCTTTGCAATGTTTGAATACTCCTCATGTAGAGGGACACGCCCGACTTAAATCTACTCCATGCGGGCGGGGGGCTGGGGCCCGCGCCAATCGGCGAAACAATGAACAAGAAAACGCTCACACTGTTAGCATCCATGCTTCATTATTTGCTTTACTATGCCCCTCCTCCAAACGACTCCCATTGGTGCACATGTTACAAATATTACGCCCGATATGACCGAGCCGTGATGATAGCTGCCGGCGTTGCCCATGCTCGGGGCACTACGCGGGAGGCCATCGACCGCCCGTCTCCGCGCGGACGCGGGGCTTGCTGGGCAGCCCGAAAGTGGGCCGCGTCGAGGGCGTTCAAGACCTCGAACGCCCCGCACGAGCGGCGCCAACGCGCGGGCGCGGATCTGCCGAGGCCATCGTTCGCTCAGATCCTGCCTCGGCGTGGCGGGCACGGGTCTTAAGTGGCAGCGACCAGGGGGGCTGCTCGGGGGGGAACCTCGACCTGGAATCGGCGATGGATCGGCAATGGGCCCCCGACAGCGGATGGATCTGCACGATCCTGGGCGGGGCGGGCTATCGGGCCACTGTCGGCGATCAATGCGCACTGGGGGCTCGATGCGCCCCCCCCATGTGCTTGCACGTCGGTCGGAAGAAATGAATAGAAACATGAAGTAGGAAGGCGTCGAAGGTGGATCGGGCTTCCGCCCGCACCCTGAGAACGAGGGCGGAAACAACTACCACTCGACTCTTGAAGCAGAAAGGCGCATAGAGTAGATTGGGACTTTGGCATCAAAAAAATGCCTACGTTCAACGACCGACGAGTACCCCCCCAGATCGTTGCCCCTGAGTCCTGGAGGAATGGTGGCCCTGGAACGTGCTCACCGCTGTCAAGCCCCCGGGGCCATCCAGGGGGGGGCCCAGACCGCCAAACCGCGGTTCGGGCAGAACGGAAGAGCCGACCCTGGGAATGGGACCCCGATTCCCTCGGGACTCATCGCCTTCTCGGGGGCGGCCAACAAAAGAGGCGCCCAAGAGGGGGGCACAAACGGTGGCCGGCGGCACGTGCGCGGCCCAGGGGGGGAGGTACCATCAAATCTGAGGTGATATCATGGCCTACGTCATGAGATCCACCCCCTAGCCATGCTCGGGCTGTCCTGCTCGTTTGATCCCAGGCGTTCGACCAGGTGGACCCCGCCGCGCTACTGATGGCCCTGGCCCGGTTTGGCCTATCCGAACCGTACATCAAAATGATTACGGCCATGTACAACGGTCGCACGTTCGAGGTGATAAACGAGCATGGCACCAGCAACCGAAGTGCGCAGTCTCCCGGCATGGATGTTGAGCGTGCTGATGGGGGATGTTGAACAAGACGTTATTTCGCAGGTCGGGCGTGCGCAAGTTGATGTTCTCTGTGCCGACGTGGCGTACGCCGACGACACGGCGCTCGCGTCGAACGACACCGACAGGCCGCAGCTCTTATTAGAAAGGGTTATTTCATGGCTCGCACGCACGGACTGGAACCCAACTGGGACAAGACCGTACATTTGTGCACAAGGCACGACATGGCCATCCACACGCCGCAAGGCATGCCGCTCAGAACGGTCACGTCGGCGGTCTACCTGGGCAGCCTCCTCTGGGCCGACGGGAAAACAGGGGCCTCAATCGCCCGCCATGTCGGTGAAGCCCGCGCGTCTTTCGATGCGTTACAAGCCGAAGCATGTCAACATAAGCAGGGCCATTAAAAGTCAAAGTGTTCAACGCCTGCGTCGCTTCCAGAACTTACGTACAACCTCGAAAAACGTTGTCTGCACACGGCAGACCGAGTCAAGATCGACGTTTTTTTTCAAGCATAGCGCTTACGTAAGAAATCTAGCATTGCACATTCCATAATGCCACACGCGAACAACGCAAAAATGCGAGGCAGAGCAAACCAGAAACGTTGAAGCCGGCAGGTGATTGCCAAGCAACTGTTGTAATACATGGAGTTGTCCGCCGTAAGTCGCTGCCTCGCAAGACTGCTTTCCCGAGCGGGAATTCGCGTCTCCTGGATCCAAAGAAACGCCACCGAGGGCGTCCAAGATTACAGTGGACTTCGGTAGTGCACGCACGCGCTCTGACAATTGCAACGTGCACGCACGGCGGGGCTTTGAGCCAAGAAGAGGCCGCCCGACAAACGGTCGGACAGGGCATGTTCAATCGCCAAGCATGGAAACAGGAACTGCACTGTTCGATTTAGTTTCCAAACCAGCCAAGCGTCTTGGGCTGCAGTGTTTACCACCTGTTTTAAGGGATGAGTTTTGCAAAAGCTCGGCTTTGGCCCTCGTCCCTCGTCAGCCTGTCCTCTTCGTGGTGTCGCCGCCCCCTCGTCCGCCATCCTGCGTCGTTCCCCTGCCTGCTCTTCCTCCTGCTCGTCCCTCGGGCGGTCGCCCGGGCTTCGCCCCCCTCCCCTCCTGTCAGGTGTCGTCCCGTCGCTCGCTCTCCTCCCTCCCCCGGCTCCGGGATCGTCCTGGTCTCCGTCTCCGGGTGTCCTTCCCTCCTCTGCCCCGTGCTGCTGTTGCTCCCCCAGGTCGTCCACCATGCGGGCTTCCAGGCAGGGCTGGGCGTGAGTGAGCAGATTTCTACACCACCCCTGACGTTGGTGTACTGCTGCACATACGCTCACGCGCGTGATCTGCAACCGATGTGCCGTCTAGGCACGGTTCCTGACCTGACCTGACCTAGTCATCACACCCGCCTTGGCCGCCCCCGACCTCCATGGCCACCAGGACCCCTCCCAGGCACAAGCTCATCACTGGCCCTCCGAGCCGCGCCCTGCCGTGGCAGGGGAGGGGGGGGGCGCCCGGAGCCAGAGACAGGCCGAGGGCCCCGTCTCCCGTGTCGGACAAAAGGAGGGGGCAGTCACAAGGGTTGGAATTGGCACCAACACCAACACCAGCACCACCACAGGGTGGTGCCTCCACCAGGGGGAGATGATCCTGGATGTTGGTGCTGGTGGTCATCTCTCGGCCACCTGCGAGGCCCAAGCGTGACCTAGCAGCGCAGAAATCAGGACGATCTTCCCTCGGTGGAGGCAACCACCGGTGCCGGTGTTGATGCCAACCTCTAGGCCCCCGAAAGGGGGGAAATGGCGGATCAGCTCACGCAGCTGACTTCCCCCACTTCCAGCGCCGAGGGCGCCAGTGTGTCGAGGAGAGAGCGCCCAGCGGCGGGACCGAAGCCAGAGGCGTGCAGCAGCTCTCGGCACCCCGCGTGCCCTGTCACCCCCCCCCGCTTCGGCCCGATCCGAGTCTTTGGGCGCCGCCGCCGTGCCGCGGGTCCTTGAGCATGCTCGGGAACATGGTGACGCCCGTCGCGACCTCGCGAAGGAGAACAGAACAGGAGCGGACGCTGTCGGGGCTCCGCGCGGGTCTTTGGGAGCGGCGCCGGGCCCTCACCCCTGGCGTTAAGTCGGGCCTGTCCCCCTACAGGGGGATTTTCGACGAAGAATAAAAATATTCAAAGAATACAACAAAAATGTTTTTTTTACATTTTTGATTATACATATAGATATATATTATAATATATGGTATATTAGATATTAAATATATTTATAATGAAAAAAAAAAAAAAAAAAAAAAAAAAAAAAAAAAAAAAAAAAAAAAAAAAAAAAAAAAAAAAAATTATTGGACTATCTTTTTTACTAATGTTGGGGCATTTTTTATTTTTAGTTCGAAAATCCCCCTGTAGGGGGACAGGCCCCACTAACCTGGCGGCAGAGCGCGCAGGGGCGGCGCCGGAGTCGCCGCCAGGGGGAGGGCCCGGCGCCTCCCGCGCGCCTCGACGCACCGGAAGGGCGGGTATTCGGCGCCGTTTTCGCAGAGATCCGCGCCTGCGGCTCCGTGGTGCGATCTTCTCTCGGGGACGGTCACGAGGGGGGCAGCGTCCAACAAGGGGGGGGGCGCCACATCATGGCCGGCAGCATGTGCGCGGCCCAGGGGGGGGGGCTGGAGACGTGAGAGAAGAAGAGGCGCCGTGAAATCTGGGGAGATCTCATGGCCCGCGCCGCCATGAGATTCCCCCCCCCGGGTCATCACCCCCTCTTGTCGGGTCGGGCGAAAGGGGGGGATAGCAAAGGGGGGGGTTGAGAATCAGCTCACGTAGCTGATTTTCCCGGCGCCTCCCGGCGCCGGAGGCGGCCATGCATCGAGGAATGGGCCCTTCGGTGGGGCCGAAACCAGCTGCATGCAGCAAACTTCGTACCCCCCCTCTCCCTATCCCCCCCTGTCGCTCGGCCCGATCTTGGCCGCCCCCGATTCTCTTCTCTTCGAGGCCTTGCCGATCGTCGACGGCACCGCCGCCACGGACCCGACCACGCTGCCGGTGCCCTTGCCCAGGTTGCTCGCCCCCTGGGCGGCCTTCTCCGGGGCCTCGAAGCGGCCGCACGCCCCCGCTGGCGCCGGAGGGAGAGGGTGGAGAGAGAGGGGGAGGGGGAGGAGGATGCAGTCGAGACGCTGTCACAAGGAACCCTGGCCAAGGAACGAGGAGGCCCCTCAAGAAGTCGAGCTTCGACTTCCCATGAGTGACCTGAAGAACACATGAGACAAGCTGTGAAACAAGAAAGAAGCACTGAGCCCCTCCCAAACGAAAAGGGCTCCTCCTCCAGCGGCCCGGCTGCAGTCGGCGGCGCGCGGAAGGGGGGGGGGAGCGAGAGAGAGAGCAGGACTGCGCAGAAGGCGGCGCAGCTGCTCCGAAGCCCTCTGCGCAGAAGGCGGCGCGCTGCTGAGAGGCCTCCCCTAAGACGAAGCCAGGACGAGGATAAAATCGGGGGAGGAGACACCGAGAATCTCTGAGATCCATCGGTTCTGGAGGATGTCTCGGGCGCCGCGGCCTTCTCAGAGCGCTCCATCCCGGCACGCCCTGGAACCGAGCTATCCTCGTCCTAGCCCCATCCGGCTCCCCCCCACTGCACTTGCCATCGCTCGGACGTCCATTCCCTGTGTTTTTTTCCGGCTTCGTGCGTCGCTTTTTCGCCAAATGATCAAGGATGCTCCTCGATGGTCCTCGCCGAAGGAAAAGGGCACACGTCCGAGCGATGCCAAGCCACCGCATCGTCGGAGAAGGCGCAGGAAGCTCCTCTGAAGACCAGATGGCCTTCTGAGCCTGCTGAGGAGGCCCGCCCTCCCCGCCTTCCCCCGAAGGGAGATGGGGCTCGGGTGCGGGCTCGTGGGGTGTCGTCGGCTGCTGGGTGCCACCTGCCAGACTGTGGCCTGAGGCAGTGTGCGCAGAGGAGCCCTGGCTGTCGAGGAGGGGAACGGAGTTGATAAAGATCAGAGGAAGCACGAGAAGCGAGCTAGCGAGCGAGCGGAACGCCAGAAGCGGAGGAGCGGGAGGATGGAGGAGGAGGAGGAGGAGGAGGAGGAGGAGGAGGAGGAGGATGAGGAGGAGGAGGAGTAGGAGAGGAGGAGGAGGAGGAGGAGGAGGAGGAGGGAGGCGGAAGGCGGAGGAGGGAGGATGGGAGGAGGGAGGAGGGAGGATGGGGAGGGAGGGAGGATGGAAGGGAAAGGATGGATGGAGGAGTGGAAAGGAAGGAGGAGGAGGGAGGGAGGAGGAGGAGGAGGAGGCAGGAGGAGGAGGAGGAGGATGGAGGAGGAGGGGAGAGGAGGAGAGGAAGAGGGAGGAGGAGGAGGAGGAGGAGGAGGAGGAGGGAGGAGGAGGAGGAGGAGGAGCGAGGGAGGAGGGAGGGGTGAGGAGGAGGAGGAGGAGGAGGAGGAGGAGGAGGAGGAGGAGGAGGAGAGGAGGAGGAGGAGGAGGAGGAGGATGGAGGAGGAGGAGGATGAGGAGGAGGAGAGGAGGAGGAGGGGAGGAGGAGGAGGGAGGAGGGAGGAGGGAGGAGGGAGGAGGGAGGAGGGACGGAGGACCGGGAGGAGGGAGGAGGGTCTAGGGAGGAGGGAGGAGGAGGAGGGAGGAGGGAGGAGGGAGGAGGGAGGAGGGAGGGAGGGAAGGCGGAGGAGGAGGAGGAGGAGGAGGAGGAGGGCAAAGGAGAGATGGGGGAGGAGGGAGAGATCGAGGGAGGGAGGAAGCGGGGAACGGCGGCGGGCCTCCTGTAAAAAAGCAGCAGCTCCCAGGACGGAAGGCGGCCCCTTCCCAAGGTGGGAATCTCGCCCTAGCGCCGCGCACGTTCGTCTGACATGGGAAGGCGAAAACCCACCCCCACCCCCAGTCCCGACCCCACTCCGGAACCCGCCACCCCGGGGGGTCGGGACTGGGGGTGGGGGTGGGCTTTTGGGGCCGAAGAAGGAAGAAAACCCACCCCCACCCCCAGTCCCAACCCCTCGAATCGCCGGCTCGGGGATGGGAGTCGGGAGTGGGGGTGGGGGTGACTGTTCGCCTTGTGATTACAAATACACAACAGCTCATATGATGCGAAGCAGTTCTTTTGAAAATTGAGGCTCTCACCTCGGCGTCGCGCGCATTCGTCTGAGAAGATCGCAGCCGCTACGAGGCTGGAGGGGGTCGTGTTCAAAGTAGGGCTCTCGCCTGTGGTGCCGCGCACAGCCGCCTTCACAGCTTGCAGCAGATTCAAGGATGGAGAGCGGTTCTTTTCTTCAAAATGGAAATCCCGCCGTAGCGCAGCGCACACTCGTATGGAGAGCGGTGCTTTTTCAAAATGGGAATCTCGCCGCAGCGCAGCGCACACACGTCGTACGTGTGCAACGGCTTCAACGATGTTTCAAAATAGGGCTCTCGCCATGGCACCGTGCACATTCGGATCAACAGGTTGCAACAGTGACAAGCATGGATAATAGTTCCGTTCTCTTGATCTTTCCCTTCATGACCCCAATCCTGAAAAAAACGGCAATGACTGGGCATCCTTTTCGAAATGGGGTTCTCGCTTGATGCTTCCCAGATGCGCATGACCACAAGTGCCAACCTGTGCAGCAGATATACAGATAAGGGGCTGTACTCCAGATTTCGTAATAAAAGGGAGGGGGTCTGGACCCTCCAAGACAAGCCATTTCAGACCCCCCCCCGTGGGAGAACCCTCCAAAACATCGTCCCCAGACCCCCCCAGGCCCTCCAAGATAGCCTGGAAGAGACCCCCCCCGAAATGAGACCCCCCTCCTTTTATTACGAAATCTGGAGTATACAGATAGGGGCTGTACATGTTCAAGGCGGGGACCCGGCTGGACACCTCGGGATCATACAGCCTCGCATGCCATACGACTCGCTGAAGGATGCAAGGAGGAAAATCCTTTTCAAAACGGTGCTCTCGCCTGAACGGCAGGCCCACAGGAACGAAGCAGAGGATCGACGATAGAGTTGATTTAACCCAGAAATCATTCTGAAGGGGCCCCAGGACACACAAATAAATACACACAAATAAACAGATTCCCCATATTTTCCCGTATGTTCTGGGTTTCTGTCTTCCCCCCCATTTCCGATGTTTTCCCATATTTTCTGGGGAATCGACGATTCATTGTGTCTGTGTGTTTCTTTCCCTCCTGACATTCTCCCGTCGAATCTACGAGCAGTACGTAAAAAGTTCCGTTGGCCTACAGAGCATCCAGCGCATTTCTCGCAGGCTCGACGGGAAAAAGCCATTTGAGGTGAATCAATGTTTTGCAGTCCATCCCCTACTCGACTCGTCGACGCCAGGTGATCTTCGGGTCATGACGCGGGCCTCCAGCGGCCGTTCATAAAGGGGCCCAGGGACACACGAATGAATGCACAGAAATAACATATTTCCTGGGGTTCTGTCTTCCCCCCCCTTCCCATATTTTCCCATATTTGCTGGGAATCGACGATTAATTGTGTCTGTGTGTTTTTACCTAACAGCGAAGAGTGATAGGTTTCTGATGGTCTCAAAAGAAACCATCTTGACTCCTCAGGGGGGTCTGGGCAGATGCCGGACGGGTGCCGGGGAGAATCCGCGGAAGTCGTTTTAAGCAAACAGTTACACACTTCGTGGTCTTCGAGGTCCCAGAACTCCATTCCCGGGCCACATTCTGAATGCCCGGAGCCAACTGTAGGCCACTTCGTGGTCTTCGAGTTCCCAGAACTCCATTCCCGAGCCACATTTTGAATGCCCGGAGCCAACTGTAGGCCACTTCGTGGTCTTCGAGTTCCCAGAACTCTATTCCTGGGCATGATTTTGAATGCCCGGAGCCAACTCTAGGCCCCTTCGTGGTCTTCGAGTTCCCAGAACTCCATTCCTGGGCATGATTTTGAATGCCCGGAGCCAACTGTAGGCCCCTTCGTGGTCTTCGAATTCCCAGAATTCCACTCCCGGGCCACATTTTGAATGCTGAGGCAGGCTGATGCTGAGGCTGAGGCAGGCTGAGGCTGAGGCAGGCTAAGGCTGAGGCCGAGGCTGAAGGCAGACTGAGGTGAGGCGCATGATGCAGGTTGAGTCTGGAAGGAATGAGGCTGAGGCAGGCTGAGGCTGAGGCCGAGGCTGAAGGCAGACTGAGGCTGAGGCTGAAGCAGACTGAGGCTGAGGCTGAGGCAGGCTGAGGCTGAGGCAGAAGCAGGCTGATGCTGAGGCAGGCTGAGGCTGAGGCTGAGGCTGATGCAGGCTGAGGCTGAGGCCGAGGCTGAAGGCAGACTGAGGCTGAGGCTGAAGCAGGCTGAGGCTGAGGCTGAGGCAGGCTGAGGCGAGGCTGATGCAGGCTGAGGCTGAGGCAGGCTGAGGCTAAGGCTGAGGCTGATGCAGGCTGAGGCTGCGGCAGGCTCCGCGCAGCTGAGCCTGAAGGTCAGGCGGCAGGCCTGAGGCTGAGGCCCGAGGCTGAAGGCAGACTGAGGCTGAGGCTGAAGCAGACTGAGGCTGAGGCTGAGGCAGGCTGAGGCTGAGGCTGAGGCTGAGGCAGGCTGAGGCTGAGGCTGAGGCAGGCTGATGCTGAGGCAGGCTGAGGCTGAGGCTGAGGCTGAGGCAGGCTGAGGCTTGAGGCCGAGGCTGAAGGCAGACTGAGGCTGAGGCTGAAGCAGGCTGAGGCTGAGGCTGAGGCAGGCTGAGGCTGAGGCTGATGCAGGCTGATGCTGCGGCATCGCGCAGGCCGAGTGCTGAGGCCCTGAGCCGGAGGCTGAAGGCAGACTGAGGCTGAGGCTGAAGCAGGCTGAGGCTGTGAGGCTGAGGCAGGCTGAGGTGAGGCTGAGGCTGAGGGCAGGCTGAGGCAGGCTGAGGCTGAGGCAAAGGCTGAGGCAGGCTGAGGCTGAGGCAGGCTGAGGCTGAGGCTGAGGCCGAGGCTGCAGGCAGACTGAGGCTGAGGCTGAAGCAGGCTGAGGCTGAGGCTGAGGCAGGCTGAGACTGAGGCTGAGGCTGATGCTGAGGCAGGCTGAGGCTGAGGCTGAGGCTGATGCAGGCCACTGCGACTGTCATCGCGAATGCGACTACGACTGCGACAACAGCAGAATTCTACAACTGGATTCT